ACCTGGCCTTGGACACTTCCAGGGATCCAGGGGCAGCCACAGCTTCTCTGCCCAACCTGGGCCAGGGCCTGCCCACCCTCCCAGCCAGAAATTCCTTCCCAATATCCCATCTGTCCCTGCCCTCTGGCAGTGGGAAGCCATTCCCTGTGTGCTGTCCCTCCATGCCTTGTCCCCAGTCCCTCTCCAGCTCTCCTGGAGCCCCTTTAGGCCCTGCCAGGGGCTCTCAGCTCTCCCTGGAGCCTTCTCTTCTCCAGGGGAACCCCCCCAGCTCTCCCAGCCTGGCTCCAGAGCATCCAAGACCATCTCATTCCAAAACCATCTCATTCCAAACCCATCTCATTCCAAAACTCTGCCATGGGCAGGGACACCTTCCCCTAGCCCAGGTTGCTCCAAGCTCCATCCAACTTGGCCTTGAACGCTTCCAGGGATGGGGAACCCCATTAATTAATCAATCATTAACTACTCAAGAGAGCTTTGCTTGGCTTTATTGAAGATCTGTGTTAAAAATCCCCAGCCCTGCAAGCTCTAAAATAACGTCAGATAACACCAAAAAGGCAGGGAATTTTTTGGGGTGGACTTTCATTTCTGGAGGCAGCTTTTATTAATATATTTAATTACGGCCCCGCAAAGATTTAAAAAACTCTTGCCTCAAGATTTACAGGTATTTCTAAGAGGGGAGGAAGGGGAACAGCAGAGATCTATGAACTACAAGATAGAGGCAGCAGATAAAAAGAAGGAGCAAGATAAATAACGGCCTGGAAAACACCCCCCCTGATGAACTGCCTGTCAAACAGCCACACGTGGAAATTGAATTTAGACTTAAACATGCCAATATGTTGCTTTTTTTTTTCCCCCCCTCCTTAAAACACACATCGTGCTGGAAGCAATTTACAGACACATCCCTCACTCAGGCCACTGCTCCGACGTTTTTAACAGGTATTTACTCCTCAGCCTGTATTCCTTGTACGTTCCCAGATAACATTTAACCCCTGGAGCCACGGGGAATGTTATGCTGACTCCAGCTTAGTTTCCTGCCAAGAAAGCGAGCAGGAATAAAAAAAAACCAGCCACCCCAGTAAAAATTTATCTCCCCTCCGAGGATACAGCCAAGCTCAAAGACTTCCATTATTCCCAAGATTAAGGGTTATCTGTTGGGAAAGCAATGATTTTATTATGCAGCGAGTTCAGCGGGGAGAGCGAAAACCACGCGGAGCGGAAAAGAGGGAGCGGAGCCATCAGACACCCGTCCTGCTTTAATTCCAGGAGGGAACACCCTCAGGTGGAATAAATTCACATCACTCACACCACTGCACCTGCAAAAGCACAACCAGCCACGGAGCTGGGAAAGAGCTGCAGGAAAAACAGGCGCTTGCAAAGAATTCCAGAGGTGGGGAAGTTAATCCCCCCCCACCCCCCAATCCCCTGGGATCAACTTCCATGGCGGGGAGGGACAGCTGGGAGCAAAAACTATGGGAATGGGCAGATTTCACCCCAAAAATCCCACCCCATTCCTTGGGGAACCTGGCCTTGTATAGATAATTATATATAGGAAGTGCCCATGGACTCACTTGAGTCACATCTGGCTCCTCTTCCTTTGCACAGAAATAAACGGATTAACACCAGAAAAGCTCCCAAAAGCAATTCCAGGCGCAGCCCAGCCCAAGCCCTGATGTATCTGTACACTAGACAAGGCTCTCCTTCCCTGGTTTTAGCACTTGGAAACTCCCAGGAACGTGGAGCTGTCTGCCTTGTGCTTCTCCAACAAAGGCAGAAATCAAAAATAAGCTGAAATCTTAAAGAGATTTCACCTTAAACCCCAAGAAATGGGGGCACACTCTGTGTGTCACAGCGTGTTTGCCACCCAAACCCCGTCACCCCCGAGCGCTCTGGGTGCAACAGGAACTCAGGTTCCATTGAAAAGCAAGGAAAGAAGGTGGTGAAAGCAGTAAATTCGGGATAAAGAAGGAGCAGCCAGATTTTGGAGGGGGCAGAGCACAAATTTTGCTTCACATGCAGCAAACAACAACAACAACAACAACAAGTCTGATCTGCACCGGGGGTTGGCGAAGAGGAGAAAAGCTTTGGCTCTAAAATCTGCCTTTTTTAAGCAGTTAAACTACACTCTTCCAAACCCTGGGTGGCTTCTCCCACCTTTTTTTTCTCCTGCTCCCAACGTTCCCAGGAGGGAGGGAAAAAAAAAAAAAACCCAACCACACAAAATCTTTCAAGAAGGTTTAATTTGGAAAAAAAAAAAAAAAAAAAAAAAAAAAAAAAAAAAAAAAAAAAAAAAAAAAAAAAAAAAAAGGGAATTTGACTTCTTCATTTTAGAGCGAATCTTCTTGTTTTCTGCTTCCTCCCTCGAAAACAGATGCAAAGAACCTCCTGATTTAAGTGGGTTTGTATTTCTGCTGTCCAGAAACACCAGCTCTGGGGGTTCAAGGACACCGGGAATCCACCAAGTGCAGCCATCAGGCCACCCAAATAAGACCATTTGTCACTAAAATCACGATCAAAACCACACTAAAGCCCTAAAGAGCGGCATTTCTAGACTAGTGGAGCTCTGCCTTAAACTTGTGAATCAAAGGGAAGGGGAGAACAACTACAAAAGTGGCATTAAAGGAGCAGCATTTGGCATTCCAACCTCTCTCCGTCGCGACGCCCAACAGCTCTGTTTGATCTTCCAAACCACAGCTGCCACCAGGAGCAAGGACAGGAAACAACTGGAAAGGGAAATAAAAAAAAAAAAAAAGAGAGGGATGTTTTAGGTTTCTTCTCTGTGATTTTACAGCTTTTTTTTTGATTAAAAAAAAACCCCAACGAAACAAACACTGTAGGAAATAAAACAAAAATCGGGTGGAAAGTTCATATAATAATATTAGGAGATGATCCAGCAGAGCCAGGGAGGAATGATACAGCTATTTCCAGGGAAAAACTCCCGTTCCAAAGTTCCCTGGGTGACTTCCTTAGATGACATTCCCCAGCTTTTTTCCCCGGGAAGTCACAACTGAAAGATTTAATCAGATTAGAAAAGCCACTTATTGCCTCTCCCTGGTGATATTTAAACCCCCAAAAAAGAAAAGCCTTGAAAGCAGCAGAGAAAATCGATCATTATTCTGCTTTTCCAAATGACAAAAATAAGATAAAGTGCAGAGCAGTGGAATTCTTTCAAACAGGCTGGTGCAGATCCACGGGCCTTGCTTGATTGCCCCCACATCTAAATGTTGGTTTTCTTCAATCAAAAGAAGGGAAAAAAGGATGAATGGATTTATCAACTTCTGGGGGAAATGCAAGGAAGCAGATTTACCAGAAAGCAGTTATAATAATGACAATAAAAGCTGACTTTATTGACAGTTGTGATCTTATCTCACTGAATACCTAATGAGCAACTTCAAGGCACACAGGCAGAGATTAAAATCCAAATCCCCCTGGAAGCCTCTCTCCTCAAGGACTGGATAAGGGAAAACATCTCCAAACCTCCTTCCCATGTTCCAGCGGGTATTTAAAGGCAGTTCAAATTTCCATTTAAAGGAAGATTAACCAGAACAGACTCATTTCCTCCACAGTGCAGGATTAACCCCGATATCCAGGCTCTGGATGCTTGAACAGGAGATGCTTCTCTCGAGGAGAGACTTTGCAAAGCACCACAAAGATCTTCTCACTCTCCACAAACCCCTGACAGGAGGGGGGAGCTGTGGGGGGGTCGGGCTCTGCTCCCAGGGAATGAGGGACAGGAGGAGAGGGAACGGCCTCCAGCTGTGCCAGGGGAGCTTTAGGTTGGATACTGGGGAAAATTTATTCATCAAAAGGGCTGTCCATCCCTGGCACAGCTGCCCAGGGCAGGGGTGGAGTCCCCATCCCTGGAGGGATTTCAAATCCCTGTGGATGTGGCACTTGGGGACAGGGGGCAGTGGTGGCCTGGGCTGTGCTGGGGGAATGGTTGGACTGGATGATCTCAAAGGGCTTTTCCAACCTAAAAGATTCTGTGATTCCATGACTTTCATCAACAAAACCCAGGACAGGCAGCAGGGACCATTCCCTGAGATGCAGAAGAGGAAGAGCCTGTTCCTGATGACAGATCCCTGTCCTTAATTCCATATGATGGAGACTCTGGGGATCAGGCACTGAACTCCAAGGGGCAGCCAGTTGGCAACAGCTTCAATTTTTCAGGCTTAGATATGCACAGAAATATGTTTTACTATCATACAGTGCATTATATTAAAAAATTGGCACTTGTATGACTTGTAGGGCCCTGGCACAGGTTGGGCAGAGAAGCTGTGGCTGCTCCACCCCTGGAAGTTCCAAAGCCAGGCTGGATGGAGCTCTGAGCAACCTGGGATGGTGGAAGGTGTTTCATGGCAGAGAAGTTGGACTGGATGGGCTTTAAGGTCCCTCCAAACCCAAAGCATTCCATGATTCCCTGACTTCAGCACTGAAACATCTCCTCAGCTGGCAAAGGCTCCCGCAGTGCCTGCTGCTAAATACTCCAACCTGACACTGTTGCTCTGGAAAAGCCTGACCCTTTCCCTGCAAACACAAAGCATTTTAATGGCTGGTTTGTTTCTCTTTTTCAGAGGGTTTGGATTTTGCAGTAAAAAAAAACCCCAGTGTTCCCCCATTAACTAAAAAGCACATTTAGTTGCTCTTTTTGTTAAAGAACCCCAGAATGCCTGGAGTTTCAAGGGATCCATAAGGATCACCGAGCCCAGCTCCCTGCTCCTCCCAGGAATGTGCTTTTTCCAGGATTGGGGATTTGATCCCTTCAGCTTTCCCTTTCTTTCAGCACTGCCCACACCACCTGTGAACAGTGTTTCACTCTGGGAGCAGGTCACGCTCGGATTAGATGGATTTTCACTTCTCCCCCACTTGAATGATGGACTGGAGAAATGTTTGAGGGCGTTTTTCTTGGGATTCACAAAATCATGGAATGGTTTGGGTTGGAAGGGTCCTTCCATACCATCTCATTCCATCCCCTGCCACAGGCAGGGACACCTTCCACTAGCCCAGGTTGCTCCAACCCCTGTCCAACCTGGCCTTGGACACTTCCAGGGATAGAGAATTAAACTCTCATTACCCTCCCACAGCCACCACACTTAGTGGCTTTGTGGAGCTTTTTTTTTCTTCTTTTAAGGACCCTTTTCCTTCAAGAAACCTCCCTGAAGAGAAAAAACCCAAACTATATCAACTCAATCTTCGCTCTGCTTTGTGTTTAGGAACATCTCAATGTTTTAATACAAATGGAGGGTGGAAATAAAAACTCCCAAGGCAGTGGAGGGAAAAGTGTTCCTGGCTCTGCACTTAATTTAACCAGGGAAAACAAACACATCCAAAACATCTGCAGGAATGGATTTGCCAGAGAAGCTGTGGCTGCCCCTGGATCCCTGGAAGTGTCCAAGGCCAGGTTGCAGCACCCTGGGCTGGTGGAAGGTGTCCCTGCCCATGGCAGGGGGTGGAATGAGATGATCTTTAAGGTCTTTCCCAACCCAAACCATTCCATGATCTGTGAGTTTAGTGCTGCTCAATGGCAGCTCCTGTGGCTTTTCCATCTCTGCAACCTCAAAACACCTTTATTTGGGGAAAGGAGATGGAAGCCCCGAGGGCAGAGGGGAAAGGGCGGGTGTTTCATCATTCTCATGGAATCCTTTAGGTTGGAAAAGCCCTCTGAGATCATCCAGTCCAACCATTCCCCAGCACTGCCAAGGCCACCACTGCCCCCCTGTCCTCAAGTGCCACATGTACCCAGTGTCTTCCTCAGGGAGAAAAGCTGGAGCGGAGAACTAAGAGAGGAACTTTATCCCTACTTTAAATCCCCTTTCCAAAAGGCAACACTGCACAAGTCTGGGCGTGCCAGAGCCTTCCAAGGGGTTTCCCTTTCCTGCCTCCCTTCTGGCACCAAAGCCAAGACTTTCTGAGGAGAACACAGAGAGGAATTAACAATTAAAGACCAATAAAAACTGCTCCTCAAACGCTCCCCACAGCGCCCTGTATTTCACAGGAGCAGCACCACACATCTTTGTACTGTCACAAGGAGGCAGCAAATACCCACAAAAGCCATAAAACCACTGAGGAAATCCATTTTCCCCCCCTGGAAGCGCTGGTGGAGAAATAAAAGGCAGTGCCTGCTGCAGTCCATCACCTGCTGCAGGAGCCCCGGGGGGAAGAGCCAAGCCAAGATCTATCTGTTGGGTTTACTCAGCCCAAACCGCCCTCAAATAAGTTTAAAAGACCTGATTTGAGCATCAGTAGCTTTAAAGAAGCTTTTTTTTTTCTCCATACTTTCTCTTGGAAAGCAACTGTGCTACGATGGAAGCAGAGGGGGAAAACGGCTGCGTGGAGTGAGAGCCGTGGTGGAAAATGGTCTGGAGTGAGAGCCTGGGCAAACCCCATCCCCTGCCCTGCCTGCCTTCTCCTGAGCAGCCTCAGAGATCCCTCTGCCAGCCAGGAAAATCCACCCATTCCCAAATGGCTTGGGAAATAAACCTTCCCTGCAGGGATTCGCTTGGCCCTCTCCCTCTCTTTCTTTCCCCTCCAAAAATGACGGGACTGCCAAGAGCTCCCTTCAGCCCCCAGATCCACTGATGGATCATCCAGGACTTCTCCCTGCAGCTCTCCCCATCTCAAATGCTTCCAGGGAGAGCTGAGAGCCCCTGGCAGTGCCTAAAGGGGCTCCAGGAGAGCTGGAGAGGGACTGGGGACAAGCCATGGAGGGACAGCACACAGGGAATGGCTTCTCAGACGGCAGGGTTAGGTGGGATATTGGGAAGGAATTGCTGGCTGGGAGGGTGGGCAGGCCCTGGCCCAGGTTGGGCAGAGAAGCTGTGGCTGCCCCTGGATCCCTGGAAGTGTCCAAGGCCAGGTTGGAGCACCCTGAGCTAGTGGAAGGTGTCCCTGCTTGTGGCAGGGAGTGGGACTGGATGATCTTTAAGGTCCCTTCCAAGCCAAACCATCCCAGGAGTCCATGAAACTGAGCTTCCAGTGGCTTCCACAGTTATAAAAATCCATGCTTACCCAGCCTAAACACTGCAGTGCAGGGAAGAGATACATTTACATTTTATGGACAATATCCTATTTGCTAAATGGCTTCATTAAGTCATCCTTAATTATTCATTAAGTTATTTAAGTACAACAAACGAGCAATGCGGTCATAAATAATCTCCTCTCAATTGGCCTCAGCAAATGCATTAAATTTTTCCTTGCTGAGCCTTCAGTGCTCGCTATACCTCAGGGTTTTCCCACCCTGACACAAAAATCTGGACTTAAAACCCCCTGTCTTGGTTTTATTCTGGACTTTAATCTCCTTTCCACAGCAAAGAGGATCCTCTCCCCACTCCAGGTATCCTTAAAGGCCTCCCAACAAGCCCACCCTGCTTTTCAAAGCTCTGGGAAAACTCCACCAAAGCGCTTTGCTGTGATGGATCCTCACGAGGAGAGGAGAAAAATCCATCTGCTGTATTAAGGCCCAATTATTAAACTCTCCTACAGTGTTTATCAACATCAGAACTGCCTGTAAAGAAATGGCAGCTTTAAACACCCAAATCTACAGCAGCCTGCCCTGCTAATGTGCTTTAACATACACAGGTCACTTAATAATGTCAGAAAGCACTGCCATGACGACTAGAAAACACAGCCCAAATTATTTTGATGGATTGCAAGCTACTCAAGTGCTATTTGCAAGTAAATTTTAACACGCTGGAGGGCTGCAGGACACATTTGAACAACGGTT